GTCAGGAGCGCTGACATCCGCCCGTATATGTGACAAAATCCATAGCGTCAATCTTGCGTTCAATCGACCTAATGTATATTTAATTAGTTTCAGATAAATGCTTCCAATATAAATCCATGTAACAGACAATGTCATGATTCTTGTAAGTTGCTGTACACGACTGAAAATTGGTTGTGTGTGTAAAAATAGAGTATCGAACAAAAAAAATTTGTCAAGACTGTACGAATGCATTAAGGGGGAATCGAACCCCCGGCGGGTCGAGCTTCTTTCAGGTCATGGCAACGACCCAGGTTACCACTACCCCATTAATGCTCAACGTCACATTGCCAGAGGTGTCTGAGGTACAAAAGCCTGAGAGCGAGGTAGAACAGCCACTTTTCCCCCGGAACTGTTCACCGATTGTTAATAACCACAATCCCATCTGGCTTCACCATACTTCCCCGTACACTGTAGTTCTTCATAATTAACGTTTAACCATTATTACTGAATACGCGGCTGGGGCTCTTCGTCACTATCGTTCTGCTCTGGGCACCCTGATGATCCGAAAGTTCCGTCCTTGCACACACTGGTTTATCCCTATCTGCGTCAACAAGAACTCGACTTTTGCTATTACGGGGTTTAAACGCTTATCGTCTGGCTCGTCATTTGAGGTGCGTAACCGTTCGATATCATCCACTTCCCATTTATCAAAATCTATACCGGCTCTCAACCAACATTGCATTATAATTCTAACCCTCGATCCCCTGCCCACGTGTAAACATCAACGAGCTCCTTTTCTCGAGGATACTCACGATTCGGGGATCCTATCAAAAGGCCAGAAGGTATGAGATATGACCATGACAATCGTACCACAAGTCGTTTTCACATCACCAACCCTCTATATTGTCCGCCCTCTCAGCGGCCTCTTCAACTATAAATACGAGGTCGTAAGCATCCTTCATCCCTCGGTTCCATCTCAAATTGTCTCTGCATATGTGACACCGGAACACATCTCTTCGTTCCTCGGACATGTTTATCGGGAATCTTTTTTAGGGGGGGGGGGGGGAGAATCTCTTCGATCCGTCATCACCCTTGCGGTGCCCAGGGGAGTCAGCATCGTCTAGCAGTAAAATTTCGAGTCTCGAGTTTCTCTTTCTTTCGTTCAACTCATCTTTTCAACCTCAACCTGTTCGTTATCTCAAAAGAACCTTCTGTTTCCATCCATTCGCCTCATCAAGTCCAGAGGGCAAAGTCGTAGGAACGCACTACTTGACACTCGGTACTACCTGTTACGTGGACCCGATCATTGGTGGCTGTTCATTCTGAGCAAGCGGCAGGGGTTCGATTCCACTTCAGTGTGTACTAGGGTCGAGAGTAACTCGCTTTTCTTCTTTTTAACGATTGGACCCGGAGGTATAAGGACTAGGGGGAGCATGAAGTGACCTACTTACTATCCATGCTTGCGCACGAGACTCGGGGTTTGGAGAGAGGAATAAAACACTGATGGTGAAGTGGTTATCATGCTTGCCTTCCATTTGTCGCAATTTCTCTCTTCCAGAAGCAAGCGGCAGGGGTTCAATTCCCCTTCAGTGTATGTGACAGTTGTTTTCGTCTTTTTGACATGCTTACTCGATAACTTCCCTCTCCGAGCCCGAGTCAGTGGCTACTTTATTCTTTTAGCTTTTTTCTTTACTACATATTTTTATCGAGCTCGTGGTGCTGAAAAGGGAATATTACACCGATGATAAAGCAGCTGCTTGTTATAATCATGCTTAGCTTGTATTGCAATTGACAACCAACTACAAGGAACTGCTGCCAACCGTGGGGCATGTTTTGGCCAATGTTTCGTCTCTTTCGAGTGCTGTATAGGGTCGCGCACGTTGCATTACAGGAAAGAACACTGATGGTGAAGTGGTTATCATGCTTGCCTTCCATGAAGCCCTGTGCTTTCCACGGAGCAAGCGGCAGGGGTTCGATTCCCCTTCAGTGTACGTCTCGAATCCTCTGACATTTACTTTTGAAACTCTTTCCTTTTCTTGTTTTGACCCTTGGTGGCTACTCGTCATCTCACGGCTTGCGTTCCATGTTCCATGTCGAACTCTTCTTTCACGTCGGCGGGCGCACGAGACGAGAGTCGGGCTTTGGACGGTAGAGCAAAACACTGATGGTGAAGTGGTTATCATGCTTGCCTTCCATGAATTGTTTGTCATGTATGCAGCAAGCGGCAGGGGTTCGATTCCCCTTCAGTGTACTTTGTATGGACCCCTCTTTTCTTCTCTTCTTCTTTTGACAAGGACTTGGTGCGAGCCCGAGTCAGTGCTTCAGTGTCGTCTCATTATCTATATACACTGACATCTAATATACATTTTGCTACTACTACTTACACGGTCGCAGCCGCAACGTCCAACGCCTGCCTCACATCCCTCACCAAATCCTCCGCCTCTTCAACACCCACACTCAACCTAATCAAATTCCCCCCAATACCAAGCAACGCCCTCTCTTTTTCCGGTATACTCCCATGCGTCATGCGCGCCGGATGCTCCGCGAGACTCTCAACGCCGCCCAAACTCTCCGCGAGCGTAAACACCCTCGTCGACGTCAAAAACTTTTCAGCCTGCGTCTCAGAACCACGTATCCTAAACGCGACCATACCGCCGTACGGGAACCCATGGGCGCGCACGTCGGGGGGGAGCCCGTCGACCCAGGCCTTGGCGTGCGGCGCGAGACTCGCGTAGGCGAGATCGTTCTTTGGGTGGGTCGCGAGGCCGGGGTATACGACGTCTTGGACTGCGGGGTGTGTTTGGAGAGCGCGAGCGACGGCGAGAGCGTTGAGGCCGTGTGCGCGCATGCGGAGGTGGAGAGTTTTGGTTCCGCGTTGTGCGAGCCAGCAGTCGTGTGGGCTTGGGACGGCGCCGATGGCGTTTTGGAGGAAGCGGAGGGAGGCGTGGAGGGCAGAGTGGTGGGCTGGGAGGATGAGGGCGCCCATGACGACGTCCGAGTGGCCGTTGACGTACTTGGTGAGAGAGTGTAGGACAAGGTCGGCACCGAGGAGGAGCGGGGACGAGTAGAATGGGGAGAGGAACGTGTTGTCGACGAGCAGCAGGGGCGATGTGGCGTGGGAATGCAGCAGCGCTGCCAGTCGGCGGAGGTCAATCAGACGCAGCGTCGGGTTTGTCGGCGTTTCAATCCACACGAGCTGTGGTAGTGAGTATTAATTAGGTAAGCGGGGGCAAGAAGCGGAAGAACCTTGGTGTTGGGGCGGATCGCAGCGAGGATGGTGTCGTCATCGGCATTTTCAAGATCGACAAACGTAGTCTCCACCCCAGCAGCGACTTTGGTCATGTACCGGAATGTCCCGCCGTACACGTCATTCACGCTGATAATGTGCGCTCCGGGCCCGAGACTCTGCACCACCGTCGCCGTCGTCGCTGACCCCGATGCAAACGCCAGCCCGTACGCCCCGCCGGCTTCCAGAGACGCCAGCGTCTCCTCAAAGGCGTCGCGGTTCGGGTTGCCCGACCGCGAGTATTCAAAGCCCTCCATCTCGGCGTCAGATCCATATACCAAGACAGACCCAACGCTGACTCACCTGGTGCACGCCAATCGCGTCTTGCTTGTACGTCGTGCTCAGTGATATCGGAGGAATCACAGCTCCCGTCTCCTTGTTCGCAGCTGACCCGACATGAATCGCCCGCGTACCGAATCCGAGGTCCTCGCCGTGCTTTTTACTATGAACGACGCCGTTCGCATGCGGGTGCACAGAGAGCAGCGAGGGGGACATGGTGTGTATGTATGTGTGCGTGTGTGAAGACAGGAAGGAGCCCGGACGTGGTTTATAAATGATTTATGAATTAAAAGGAAATTTTTTTTAGTGTAAGAGATCGAGAGGGCGTATATATGCCATGCCCATTCATTCATTGCGTATTGATTCAGAAGAGGTCAGAATGGCGAAATTTCTTATCAATCTTCGTCACGTGTCTCTCAGGGTCGGCGTTTCCGAGCGCCGAATCCACGCGCCGCCCATTACTTCATAGTACTCGGGTCTCACTCGCTCAATGTCACTCACCCTCAGGCCCCCCGTCTTCAACGTATCCCGGTAATCGCAGCCACGCCATCGCCCATCCCTTATCCCATCCTTCTCATGCCGAACCAACCACGCCAACCTCGGACCTTCTTCCCCTTCCCCCCTAATCCCCACAATATTCCCATTTCTAATCCCTAACATAATCATCCCGAGTTCCTCGCGCCACGAGTGTATCCCCGTGCGTACATGTGCCTTGTCCTTGCTTTCTCTTCGTTACCTTATGCTCCGTTCCCCTTCCTATCCTCCGCAATCCGACTCACGACCCCCATAACCCTTTCGTACATATATCCCCAGTGTGCTTCTCATTCATCCGCTCTCCGCTCTCCCGTTCCATCGCGAGTTTGGTTCTTAAGATCCAAGGTATAAGGGTTTAAATTAATGCTCAAGGTGTAAGAATCAAGCTTCCCAACACCCCCCAAAGACGTTCGCTGGTCGTTGGGAAAAATCCGAGTCCGAGTCCAAAATACGATTTCTTTCTTCCGAATTCTGTACAGCACACGTTTGGGCTTGGGGGACGATTCTACCCCTCAAACTCGTTCATGTGTGTACGGCTCGGAAGGCCACACGCTTTGCTTTATCGTTCGTTTGTTGAGGTCTAAGCAACCAGCATTAATACGGTAGGACTCCCTCCATCACGATCCATTCATCGATCCAAAAACAAACTCTCGACTCTCTACCCCCCTCTACGTTCTTTTCCCATCTCATCCGTCCCTTGATCTTCCTCGCTTCTCACACACATACACAGACCTCAATCCCCTAACTTGAAATGGATCTCAGTCCCCACTTATACACCCAGTCCCCTCATTCCCCACATGGACTCTGGAACCGTAACTATAATCATAATCATAATCATAATCATAATCCTGATGAAGACTGAGTATGCACATGTATCATGGCTTCCTTGGTATCCTACATCGTGCGGACTTTGACCGCGCGGCAAAGCGCGGCTGAACTAGGACACGAGGTAGAACCCATCGCCCGCGTTTCCGTTTCCGTTTCCCCGCGTTTGGACTCAGAGCAACAGCTAAAGAAAAGCATCCGTCCATGGTAGAAGAGACTGCTATCTTAGCGGCCTGTTGTAAGAAAGCACAGGGTCGACGCCCACGCTCGTTGAGTTTAACATTAAATTCACCCATACATGCGCCGGCCATGACCCCCGCTCAACCCAAAGCCACGACCCGGTCAACCTTGCCTATATCGTCCTGCGCTGCGCTCGTATGTTCCTCATTATCTACACGGGCCATGGGGACACCCAATCAACTCAACCTCTTCCTTTTTTTCCTTTTCCTTTTGGATCTCACTGTCATTGTTGGTCCCTTTGGTTTGACAATCGCTTGTACATTGTGGCCTCGTCGACATATCCGTGTATGGTCAGAGGGTCCAGGGTTGCACATTTGACATAGTAAATTCACCAGAGTTTGTGGACGGCTGTCCAAAGGAAAGCTAGAAGAAAAAGGTTGAGTCGCAAATCCAGATACACGAACTTGAAGCACTGGTAGGGCCCATAGCATACCTTGTCAACAAGGATGATGAATGAGTGGTTTTTTGGCTTTTTGAAAAGTCAGTGGACCACCGACTATGGAGTCGATGTTTTGACCTCAACAGCCGTGAGCTTGAGGAGGTTTTGGAGAGTTGACACAGAGATCCGCATTCGGAATATGTGAGCCAGATTTTCTGCATCTCCGCCAGCTATATATGACGTTTGAGGTCGTGGCGGGAAAGAGGAAAAACAGAAGATTTTGAGAGAGTTGGAATAAACCCTTCACACGTGCGATATTCGACTGTAATAAGAGCAGTGACGAAGGAGACCTTTATTTTTATCCCTTTTAATCTTGAATCTCCTCACCTTGATATCGCTCATAACATCTCATTGGAATGTTGACATAAATACACAATTTTAATACGTAACAGATCGAGTTTCAACCTTTGATGCTCTCGCGAGGGTGTCATCATTCAGTGGGGCGTATCATGGTCAAAACGGATATGGACATGCCACGTCGAGTCATAATGGTCATATGCGAGCACACGCACAAAACTGAAGCTATCCTTGTTGCTGCCATATTCTTCCCAAGTAACGTTGCTGGTGCCACTTGTGCCTGATGCTAAGCGGTACAGACTAATTACTGAGCCAACGAGCAAATTTTTTGCGGGATTTTCCTGTTTATGGTCGTTGAAAACTTGACGGGAAACTCCGGGTCTCTGCTAGTCTTCCTGCATTGTGCTCCAACTGGCCAATTTCGTGATAAACTTCGAAACCAGGGATGGGCATGTTTTATGGTTGATGAGGTCGTGCAGATGCCAGTGGTGAATACCCATTTTATCGCATGGCAGGCCCTCGTGCTGGAATGTGACGAATATGGTAAAATCAACGTGTGGCACACTAATTGTAGACCAAAACAATGATTTATAGGATTTTGTAATTTCTTTATTTGTCTAGTGGCATGGGACCCACAAGTCAAGAATCCCGCCAATTGATTTCAATTGTCCTTGATGGACAATGAAAAGTGCAACAATTTGTTCGTATCCGCATGTCGATATATAAGTGGATGTCCTCGACTCACTGGACAACCACCTCCCCATGCCACTGTTTAAAAAAATTCGTACGCATCGTTAACGTATCGCCTCATGCCATCTCATATCCTCTGACATATTTCATGCACAGGGTTTAATGCCAAGGTACTTTCACCGACAGAAAGGAATGTGTTGTCTGGTGAGTCTAACACAGGACTCATCTTCAACATGCCTCCAGAGATGTGGCAGGAGATTCTCTCTCATTTGAAGATAACCCCCGTTCCTCATTGTTACACTTCGATATCTACACTTGAGCGCAGTTTTGCTCTCCGGGCCTTGTCGCAGACCTGCCGGAGATTTCGAGACCACTTCTTGCCGAAACAATGGGACACTTTCGAAGTTTATCCGCCCAATAAAGCTACTCCTGCCATTTTAATGGATACTAGAACAAGGCGTACGTTAGCCAGATGGTTGAATCTTTGACCCTCATCTCATAACCACAAATACAGCCTTCAGACAAACCCACGAAGTATTGCATTACAAATGTCGAGGCCTCATTCAAACCCGTGAGCTTGGTGTATATGTCCAGTCAGTTACATCTGAAGCTGATCCTGGTCTTTCACTTATACTATATCAATCAGTAAAATGACAGTGTC